GGGCTGACGCATACAATCATGACCGTCTGCAGTTTCCGCCGAGGGAGAACTTCAGCAGACGCGTCAGCTTGCTGTTGCGGTAGGGGACGTGGTTCTTCTTCCGGGGATCGCAGAGAGCATTGATGCAGCTTCCGAGCGCGAGCAGCGACTTGTTGATGTTGGCGCCCTCGAGCAGGCGCTCGCCGCGGTTCTTGGTGGCACTCGCACGCTCGCTGCCAGCCAGATCGATGATGCTGAGGGTGGCCATGGTATGCGGCTCGTTGACATCGGCGTTGCGATCTTTTTGGGCAACGTTGATCTGAAGGACAGCGTGGGAGCGGGACGAGGTGGCGTTGGCCTCGGTCGGCGAGACGGTGCGGAACTCGTTACCCCTGACAATCATGTCCATAACCTCCTGCACATCCTTGGGGCGATGGCTCGTCAGGCCAGCGACAGAAACGGCCTGGTTCGAGTCCTCTCGCAGCATCAATCCCTGCTTGCTGCCACCGGGGACGAGCAGGTCGCGAATCGTCTCGTTGTAGATTTCGAGGTAGGAGAGGGTGACCTCGGTCGTCTTTTCTTGGCTGCGGTCGGCGATCTTCTCGAAGAGCTCCTGCATGGTCAGGAAGATGATGCCAGGGTGCTGCGAGGTGCCGGTGATGGTGTGCGTCTTGCCGCAGCCGGTTGCGCCGTATGCGAAAACGGTGGCGTTGTAGCCGTCGAGAACGCTGTCGAGCAGAGTCCGTGTCGTCGCTTCGTACACATCGTTTTGCGTAGCATTGTCGTCGAAGATTCTGTCAAAGGCGAAGACTTGGTCCTTGACCTTTTTGCCGTTGGGCACGACGGATCTCGAGAACCTCTGGACGGGGTTATCTTCGGGAGGATCGAATACTCTGAGAAGGTTGTCAGCTGTTGTGATTCGACGGAACAATCGTGAGATGGCCACGCACAGGCATCGGTCATCGACGACCTTGATCACAGGTCGGATGCCCCTCGTGTTGAGCTTGGGTGTTGGGGCAGCGGCCAGCGAGCCGTCGCCGAGAAAGAGGGTGCCTTCATCGGTGCGCGTCCTGGCAGAGTCAGCATGTTGTGTCGGTTTCATCACTGTATTCGGGGAGACCTACAGTTGCGCCGCTTCACGAATGGTGAAAGGTCGCACTCGGACTGTAGAGTTCACGAGGTCAGCGCATGGCTTGGGGGGGTGTGGTGAGGGAATGTACGGACCTGTGACATTGATGGACGAGGCACCAGGATCGACGACCATCTTGTCCCGCGGTGATGCTGTGCTTCGTGGGATTTGCAGTTCGAGTCCTTAGGATCTGGTCGTCGCTCGGACTTGTCTCTCGTGTTTGGGGAGTTCGAGTCCTGCGACGGCCAAGAGGGGAAGCGGCGGATAGTCGGAGGTGTTGATCAAAAACAAAAAGAGGTCGCAATGTGCAAATATGTACTCATGAGAAGGATGCTGCTTCTCGCGCCTGAAAGCAATGGGGTCGAGGCGGGGGAAAAAAAGAAAACAGACGTGTTGCTTGCTATGCCTTCCTTACCTGGGGCTGGAGCTGGGGCTGTCAAGTTGAAGATGGGGGTTTGAGTGACGAGGTGGAGGTGCTCTGATGTTTTGGCTCGAAAGCTCGCTCTCACGCTCTCACGCCAAGCGGGTATCTCACTCGTCAGTGCTGCTGCGTGCTGCAGGGCAAACGCCCGACGTTTGTTTTGGGCAGGGGTGGCCGGGGGTTGTTAGTGCTGTCGTCCCTGGCAACCGGGACTCAATTTAGCGCCTTGGCCTTGGTGAGGTCCGTCGACCACGTGATCGTTACCCATGTGCCCAGGTACCTAGGTACCTAGGTACCTTCCTAAGGTAAGGTACCTTGCCTTACCCACAATCGAGATACCTAGGTCACTACCACCAGCAACATCACCACCTCCATCATGGCATGCCGGTCCAGCATTCATCACTGCGCTTTGACATCATACAGCAATCCATCATGTTCAGTCCTAGATCATCATCTTAACCAAGGCATACTCATGACCTTCAACGAACTATCGGGGCCAGGCATCAGAACCAGTGCATCCCGACCCAATGTGTCTACAAAACATTGAATTGCTTCACTCGTCATATACATCATGCAAACTCGTCACACCCATCACATCGTCAATGCGGCCGCCAGAACCACCATTAGCGCACTCGTGAAGCCTCCCACCGCCAAGCCGCCAGCACCGTTCGACGCCTCGTTCGACCCATCAGCCTCCTCAGACTCGCCTCCTCCGGGCAACGACGTCCGGTTGTGGTCCACGCCGCCGACAATGCCCGGCGTCGTCGCAAAGGACGTGCCGTTGTAGGACCCCCTCTCGTCCCTGCCGACGAGGAAGCTCTCCGGCGGCCCGAGGTACGAATCGCGCACGCCGCCGAGGTCAATGACAATCTTCTGCACCACAATGTTCGGCAGCAGCGCCCAGATGCGCAGCGTGTAGGCGCCCTCCTGCGTCACGTTGAACGACGATGTCGTGTAGTTGCCCTGCAGGCCCCAGACGGCGTTGGCCACGGCCTGGCCCCAGCCGTCGGGCATGTTGGACCCGACGTTGGGCCCGATCGGCGTCACCACCGTCGGCTCCGGCTGCTCGTCGCCCGCCGGGAAGAGCGCGATCGCGTACTGCAGCGGGTTGTTGTCGCCGAGGTAGTTGGCGCCCGGCGACATGTACACCGTCACGTTGGCCGCCGAGTGGTTCGTGAAGAGGTACACGCTGTACTCGAGCGCCGGGCCCTCGCCCACCTCGAGCTTCTCCGAGTCGAGCGGGTAGAGCCCGACACCCGCCAGCGTGCGCCCGTAGTTCCGGAGCGTGTGGTACGCTGGCGCCGTCTCGTTGCTGTCCTGGCGCCTGCTGACGCTCGTCGAGTTGGAACCCGTGCTGTTCGACGGTGACGATGACGACGATCCGCTTGTGCCTCAAGGATGGAGGGGGGTAGTAGAGGGAGAGAGATAGATATGTGGGCGTTGTGAAGCGGAGAAAGATGACGAAGAAAAATGAGTAGAGAGGTGTAGCAAGTCGCGCGTGTATGAATAAGCGAAGTGAAGCGTTAGGCAGGACGTCGGGAGGCGTGTAGAGGGGTAGGATGGAGGCGATAGTCAGTATCCCTGTGAACGTGAGAAGTTAGGTACTGCAGTAGTATATGGAAGCAGAGATACT